TTTCCTCTGTGTTGAAATTTACAGTTAAAACCCTTTGTCACCTATGGCAGTTCCCTGTTGATTCTTTCATGAAAAAATTCAAGGCCAATAAAGCTGCCCCAACTGCAGGCTCCACCTGAAGATACAAAGAGTTTGGAGTAAAGACATTGATAAAAAGAATAGGATGCCTGTTGTGATAAATTTCCGTCAGCATGACATGAACAAAGCTTGCAAAAAATTAATCAACAAATAAAACTCACTTGATGCAAGAAGACAAGTACCAAACATTCAGTAAGAACAAAAATAAAATGAAGATAACTCATTACTAAGGGCAAAGAAGGAAATACAAGCTTCCGTGATCAGGAATTGGGTTCACAAATGGCCAATTTAAAAATTGCAAATTGCAAAGCTCGTCTGGTTTAATGTTTACACCTAATTTTCATATTAGCCTCAATATGAAAAGTTGAGACATAATTTTTTTTTACGTTTCAGTCATCACCACCAATATTGAATTTCCCAGAGGTGGATTTCTAACTCATTATTCTCAAAATAAGAGTTAATCAGAAATGGAACAAGTTGAGCCAAATAGCCTGTTAGCACAAGGAATTGCTGTTCTCAATCTCTATAAGATTTATCTCTAATTAATATTGGAGGGAGAACTACATGCAAAAGTAGAGAAGAAGTTATATGCAATGCAACCTTCGGACAGCCTAAATTTGAAAATACTTTGTGGCTTCTGAAAGAGTATCCTAATTACACCAATTCTAGCGTGTAAGCATGCTCCAACAGAAAACAACTGATTAAAAAAATCTGGATTTTGTCTCAACTACATATATTGGTCACTATAGTCAAAAAAATTTTGTGCAAAGGCATGAACTTTCTACAACTTCTAGAAAAGAGAAAAGCAAACCTTTGGTTTAATTGGATGGACCCCAGGAAAATCTCTGCAAATGCAATTTATAACTTCTTTCCCTATATCCCAATTTTTATTAGCTTCAAGGACACCACCAACCATTACAAGAGGGAAAGAGCCCTTGCCATCTGCAGCCAGAAATTAAAATGTGTCTTGAAGAGCTAAGCCCTTCTAAAAGAGCAAGCACAATAGATGCATAAAAGATATATCGCTGAACTTTATGCATGATCTCATGTTCGACTTCCATTCAAAATTATCCAGATGAATATTTTTATTAATAGATATCTGAACACACATAATAGAAAGATTAAATAAAATTAATACTCCATAGGAGGCTAAATTCTTTCTTTATTGGAATTAGTAGCAGCTCACTCCCTAAGCTCTTCCATAAGCAAAAATAAAAGACCATTGTGTCAAATTAATAAGCACCAAGGAGTTTGTGACAACTTAATAATTTTTACTTTAATAAGAAAGATGTTTAATAATTTTAAGTTAGGTAAGTTAGCACCTTTGCCACACAAACAAAGTTTTTGCACAACAGCTTTTACACTTAAAGCCAACTCCTCAACGGCAAAAACTAAGATATTATTTGCCGTTTCATCACCAGCTTCTGCACAGGAAACCACTTCCGGAACAAGTGCAGCAATGCGTGCCCAAGATGGATCAGCATATGTCCACCTGCAAATAGGAAGAAACATAAAACCAGTGATAAAGCCCAATTAATTAATTGCATAGTTATACAGGGGATCGGCTTGCTGCAAAACCATTTTTTACAAGTTAATCATTAAGAACCAATTTCCTGAAATAATCATTTCATTGTTTCTGAAACAAAAATAACATCTTATTTCATTGCATCTCAGTTTTTCACGAAATCTGTGCCTGATCCTTTATTGTTAATGCCAATCACAATAAGAGGTTAAAGCATAATGCAACTAGGACGCATACAAAGA